CGCGGCACGGGGTTCGAACAAGCCGGCATTTAAAAATGGCGCCGGCCGGCTTATGCAAATGAAGCCCGGGAAATTCAAATCCCGGGCTTCATTTGCAAGTGCGGTATGCCTACATTACCACCCTAGTTCGAACTAGCGGGGTAGTGTAGACATACCCATACTTAATATCAGGGATACAAGAAAGGCTTTCCATCACCCTTCTCTCTACTTGGTCTCTACTGGAGACCAAGTTAGACTAGCAGCCCAGATTGTGCCCCTTTGTTGGGCTCCCTAGGGGCATTAAGATAGCATGTATTACCACAATTCATGGTGTTATGGCCCCAAGAGTCCTACCCACAGCACTATAGAGGAACTTGAAAGAGCAGATGAAAATATTGCTTGGAGATTTAGATTGCTCTGTGCCAGGTGGGTGTGGCTGGCCAGTTTTTAGTGCAGAGACCTCACCAAAGGGAGAGCTTTGGATCTGTGCCCTGAAAAGGGCAAGAATCTTGATGTGATTTCTGCTTCATTTCCAGCCCCAGAAAATTTTTCCCTACTGACTGTCAACCAGGGTTGGGGGCAGAGCATGATATGGATTCAATGATCTATTTTTTGGCATATCTGATTTTTGCAGGTATAATTTGATTATACACAATGATGGGTACATTAGGTAAGAAGAGAGGGGGGGGAAATGTATTTGGTTGATTTTCATTACATTTGATATCAAACGTCTGCTTTTCGTAAAGATACCTAATAATATTATTGGGCACTACAATATGAAGGATAAAGTATTCATAATTATTATTCATGTGAAACTCCTTATAACATCATAGGAAGATCAATGTGTAAAACGAAGGAGTTGATATGACCATACAAACACATTGCTTCCTCGTCTAAATATGTCCTCATTTTTTCAGTATGTTATGAATAAGGATTCCTTATGCAATAACATTCTCACCTCTCAAACGATATCATATGCTGATCTCCAACTGAAAAATATCAGTTTGACATTGGCACTAGGCTTTTACTTTACAGGTTTCAGAACTTGCCTTTTCTTTCGCCATCTCACTATGGAGAAAATAGGACCTTGTCAAGGACTTTTTGCAACCTTTCTTAAATAAATATAGATGCATTAATCAAATATCCTCATTCTTTTTTCAAGTCCATACATAAGAAAACTCTTCAGGCACAGATTATCAAATAGATTTTCTAATCCTTTCAGCCTCTTCTGCATCCTTTGAAGATTTTTTTTTTTTTTAAAGAAATGTGGTACCCAGCACTGGACAAAATTTTGTATGCTTTGCTTGACAAAGTACTTTATATATATAAAGATTGTCTATTTTTATCCATTGCTAATCTCCTTCATTTAAAATTAGTTAGCTTTAAATTTGTTACCCTTTAAAATAAACACTCATTAATTCCATTCTGTATTTATTTAAGAAGTATATCTTGGTGGTCAAAGCTGAAGGCTAGCTGTCAGAGTTCATGTTTTCTTTTCTCAACTCTGCCACTAGTTTACAAAGTTTAATTTCTCTAGTCTTCAGTAAAACCACTTATAAAATGTATTTACCATATAGTGATTACTGAAAAAAAATCAGTAATTATTTGAATTTTAAATGTAATTATTAGAACAATCTCTAAAAGGGAGACCCTGGGTCAAATACTGAAGAATATTCACAGAAACAAATTATGACTTTTTAATCAGGAATATGTACATCAAATACTTGATTCCAGGATATTCTCACAGAGACATATGTCCTGTGTACCAAATGAAATTATATAAATCTGATTATAGAATACTTACATTGAACTGTTCAAAAATAATATACATACTGGAACTTATTCACAAAAGTTACCTGGTATATGTTTTAATGAAAACAAAACTTAAGAAAATCATAGCCTTTTAATAGCCATTAGATAAACTATGTAGTTATTAAGAAACACTTATTCACCTAAATGTCATTGAATTCATTTAATTTATTAATATATATTTATTTTGTCATCTGCAATGCAAAAATATAAATGCTAAATAACCTGACCGCCCATTTTTGTGCTAGCAAGAACATAAAAGATATGAGAACTATTGTGAATTCCTTCCATGCTTATGAGCATGTATAATTTTATTTGTAGTAGTAGAACTGATTGAAAAAGGTACATCTGTTTTATGAAGAAAACGAAAGAAACTAATATATTCCTTTGTACTTGACTGGTCAGTGTTATTTTTTTAATTTCCTCAAAGACAATTTTCCAACTGGATATTGTGAACAGTGTCTGGAAAAACAAAACAAAACAAAACCAACTTTATTTTACCTTAGTGGGAAGAATATGCTCCTTGTTTTATTCCCTTCAGATTTTTCTACAGGGGAGTAGGAAATGTTAAAAAATGGGGTGGGGAGGGGGAAAATATGTTTTCTTTTTCACAATATTAAAATTATTTTTAAAAAATATTTTGACTAAACTGAAACATTTGTCTCTATTTTATTGTTATGGTCAAAAAAGCATCTCCAGAAGACTGAATGAAAGCTAATGTTGTTCCAGTATTGAAAAAGGACAAAAAGGATGACCCAGCTAATTATTGAAAGATAATGGAGCAGCCAATATGATACTCATACATAAAGAATTAAAGGGGGGAGTGATAGTATATTTCATGTATCAGAGGGGTGTCCGTGTTAGTCTGAATCTGCAAAAAGTGACGAGGACTCCCGTGGCACCTTATAGATTAACAGATTTATTAGAGCATAAGCTTTCATGGGCAAAGACCCACTTTGTCAGATGCATTGAGTGTGGGGAGAACAGTTTCCTTGCAGACATATAAAGATTGTGTCCATATACCCTGATACTGAAATCTATCTTAAATTTTGTTCTTTTCCACGGGAATTGGACAAAAACGTCTCATCCCAGGGAAATTCTAAATAAGGTAAGGGAAGTAGAACAGTGAGGGTCGTCAGCTGGCTTTACAGACTGGCTCCCCTCCCTGAGAAAATACATGAAAACACATGAAAATAAAAGAATTGTAACAACAAGGGTTGGAGAAGAGTTGCTGGACCCACATCAGAAAGGACAGCTCTGGCCTGAAAAGGACTTTACTTGAAATAAGAACTAGGTGACAAATTATGAATTGTAACGACTTCTCTTGGTGTATAATTTAATTTTGCTTCGTAACTAAAAATGATAGCATACAGATCAAAGTAAAACACTTACAACCTACTTTTTAAACTTAATAAAATCACTTTTGTTTATTAATAAATCCAGTTTAAAAATTGTTATGAGGGGGAGGCACAGGGGACAGCTATGCATATCTCTCTTTCGTTGATAAAGGGGATGAACGACTGTATAAAAGAGCAAGCTCATAAAAGTAAGGTGCATTTATCTGAGTTTCTAGTCTGTCAAATCCTTTTGAAACAAAAAACAGGACTATGTAGCATTTTAAAAACTAACAAGATAGTTTATTAGGTGATGAGCTTTCATGGGCCAGACCCACTTCCTCAGATCAAATTGTGGAAGAAAATAGGCATGACCATAGGTACCAAAGGGATACAATCAAAAAAGCGAACAGATATAAAAAGGACACTTTTTTGATTGTATCCCTTTGGTACCTATGGTCATGCCTATTTTCTTCCACAATTTGATCTGAGGAAGTGGGTCTGGCCCATGAAAGCTCATCATCTAATAAACCATCTTGTTAATCTTTAAAGTGCTACATAGTCCTGTTTTTTTGTTTCAGCTAGACTAGACTAACACAGCTACATCTCTATTACAAATCCTTTTGACTGAGTCTTCTGAGAGCTGAGCTGATCTCAGTGTCTGTGTTGCTCTGCTGTGGGCTATGATCTTCAACCCTGTGACTTCACTGTGTGGGTCCAGCAGCAATGTGTGAGGGTGGAACAAGGGATCACTAGACCCCGCACATGCCATTTAAAAGAGAGGCTAGGAGACAGTGCCTCTGGATACCCTGGGGGTGGGGGGAGAGAGGGAAAGGACTAGTAGGGTGGCCTGCTGCCCACAGCAGGGGTCACACCCCCGAACACTGGTGGCATTAGGGGTAAGTGGAACAATATGGCTCTAGCTCACTCTGATCCCCTGGCTCCCAGTCAGATCACTTGTGGGAGGTGGCAGAACTGCCTCCCCGCCCACTCACTGGTAGGAAGCAGAGTGACACGGCTGAGATCTGGGGAAGTGGAGCAGGATGGTGGCCAAGTTGCTCTGCTCCCCCCACTCAATCACTCCTACCACACACACAAAGCTCTTGATTCCAGGTGGCCTGACCTTTACT